TCTCTCCGTGACCCGACAAAAGCGCGAACGACAAAAGCGCGGCGCTAAAACCAAAATGTCAAAAGCGCGCCGACAACAGCGCGCCGACAGAAGCGCACTGTAACCTAACCCTAAAAACAATCCTAACCCTAACCTTAACTTAAATCGCGCTTCTGTCGGCGCGCTGTTGTCGGCGCGCTTTTGACATTTTGGTTTTAGCGCCGCGCTTTTGTCGTTCGCGCTTTTGTCGGGTCACGGAGAGAGATATAAGGCTAAGGGCTCTTGGTATAATGAATGCCTATGGAGATTTTCAGTCATCCAAGTAATGGTTGTCCCAAAGGTGCTTTTTCTGGAGGCAACTGGACTTTCTGGTTTTTTTCTTTGAAGATTTCTCTTCTCATCCTGCAGCCAAGACTATCTCATCCTGCATATCAGTTTGCACCACTCGGGTGACCCTGAGGACATGGATAACCTCCAGGTGGCCTCAACCACCCTCTAAAAGGATGCAAACGACCAGCTGTCTGCAAGGAATATAAATCCTTCCATTCCCCACCATCCAGCCAGAGCTGAAGAAGCTTCTTGGATGAGAAGCGAAACGCCTTCCAAGAAAAACCCGAAAGTTCTTGAAAAAGCACCTTTGTGGCTATTGGTATAATTGAATCCAGAATTAAGACAGCAAGTTGTGCCTGTTAAGCACCTGACCTTGACTGATTTTACCTTTTTCTTTTTGCAGTGGTCATTGAGTGAATTGCTGTGGCCATTAAGTGAGTCAGTTACCCACAATGGACATTTTGTCAGAAACTGGATGTAAATGCCAGTTTCTGGTGAAGCCCCACTCTCCGGTAAATTATGGTCACGGGACGACGAGATCCTGCAAATAGCCATAAAGGGAGACTAATTGCCAAGTGCCCAAAATTGTGACGGGGGTGGGTGGGGGTGGCCATCAAATCTGAGTGGCAAGTAGCCCTGGAGAAAATCTGTTGTAACTCTGCACGGTTAATAAGAGATCAGTTGTAAGCCAAGGACCACCTGTGCAGTAGCCTCGTGTGATCTGCTAATTATTACCTGTATCAGTATCTTATTTCCCAACAATCTAGTTGCTTGCTCTATATTACATACAGGTGGGCTCTGCATACAGCTTAATTGCATGTTCTTCCATCCCTCCAGTATCAAATAATAGAAATGTCCGACACTGGGCTGAAACCATCAATTGTCCAGATGTCAAGACAGAGGTTTATCTCGGGAAGAGGCAGAATAGGGATGGCTGAAGTTCTGCATTTTGTGGAAAGGAAAAACATAGTTAAATGACTTCCTTCTGCCCTGCACAAATATTAAAGTACAGGTAGTTCTCAACTTGCGGCCTTTCGTTTAGCGACTGTTATTTTTCCCCACTCCTATGATTATTGCAGCGTCCTTGTGGTCATGTGATGAAAATTCGGGTAATTGGCATGGATTTCTAAGGGTGGAAGTGTCCTGGGGTCATGTGATCCTCTTTTGTGACCTTCTGACGAGCAAGTCAATAGGGAAACCCGATTCACTTAACAACCGGGTTACTAGCAGTAACCATTGCAGTGATTCTCTTGTGGCAAGAAAGGTGGTTAAAATGGGGCAAAACTCAGCACTGTCTTGCTTAGAGACAAAATCTTTGGGCTGAGTTATGGTCTAGTCAAGGATTACCTGTAAAACACCCCCCTAAGGCTTCCTGTGGTGTGGGACGGTGGTACAAAGTCGTCTTCTCTCTCCTCCCCTGACAGGTTTCACAGCTGACCTGAGATCCAACACCGGCGGCCAGGCTTTCCCGCAGTGCGTCTTCGACCACTGGCAGATCTTACCCGGAGATCCTTACGATGCCAATTCACGCCCTTTCCAAGTGGTGGCCGAAACCCGTAAACGCAAAGGCTTGAAGGAAGGCATCCCACCCCTAGACAACTTCCTGGACAAATTGTAACGGCTTCCTCCCTCAACGCGGGCAAGGAGCGTCTTACGACAACACCCAACAAACTCCACCGTGGAATCGGGATTGCTTCACCAAAATGCGAAAGGAAGAGACGAGAAAACCGGACAACCCGAAATGAAGACACAAAAAAAACCAGCCTCTAGCAATTATGTCATGTTCACATAACGAGAAATAAAGTGTGTTGTTGAATAGAACAATCGAGTCGGGTTTTTATTTTCCTCTGGAAACAAGACCGGTTCAGCTCGATGGGTTTCGTTTTATTTTTTTTACGGCAAGGATTTCTGAGACAGGTCAATTTACATATCAAGCTCAGTTTATGCAGATTCAGTGGCTTTTTAGGCCGACCCGGTATGTAGCCTCTCTTGCTTCGCACACAAAATGCTGCTTCTAAAGGTTTGGAGAACAGTTTGCCGAAACAATCCAGCGTGGCATTTAAAAACAAAAAAAAGTTCCATGTGTTTAATTGCATCGCTTAATAAAAAGAGTATGGCTTAAAAACCTTTTTTTGTTGACTGAGTCAGAATCCTGAAACTCAGCTCTGAACCAGAGGAAATTTTTCAAGAGACGCGCCCTGAGTTTTAGTGAATCTCTCCGGGATCTTTCGAATTTACAGCACAGCAAGAGGAAAACTACGATGGGGGGGTGGAGGGGGGGTGGGGAGTCCTTCCGAACAGCACTGAAAAGAAAATCTCAAAAGTAAAGGTATTATTTCCTTTAAACTTGAAAGATAGAAAGAATCGGATCGCTTTTAATCGATAACAAAAAAAATTGGCAGATACGTGGAGATCAACGAAACGCAAGCGAAAAATTCTTTCGGGTGGCCGTAACGATACAAAACAAGTGTCGTTTAGGATAGGACAGCCAAAGGGAAAATCATTATCAGGTATGCCTGGCCCAGATAACTCTAAAAAATATTAAGACTTTGTTAAGGGGAGCAAAAGATGGACCCGGCAATGCCTTTTGCAAGTTTAAGAACACTGTTAGATAATCGAGACAAAGGAACTTTTGCAAGGAAGTTAAGAGAGAGAGCAGGAAAGAGCCGCGCACGCATGATAATAGCGCGGTGGCTTTCATCATCACAACTTCCGAGACCCTTAAGCAAACAGTTGGGGGTAAAATAGAACACCTAGAGCTTTTCTAATCTCATCTACTCTGGCGAAAATGCTCCGTATTATAAAAATACGGGGCGTTTTATCAAAACGTTTGCAGGACCCTCCTAAGGCAGTGATGGTGAACCTTTTTCTTACGGCGTGCCAAAATTGCATGCGCTGCTATCGTGCACGTGCCCACTCAATCTCACCGCTCACCTGCACATGTGCACACGACCCCCCTGTGCAGGCACGCACAACCTCTCCTCGGGCTACGGAGGCTTTCCTGAAGCCTGGGGAGGGCGAAAAATGGCT